GGTTTTTCTCTGTATCTATGAAGCGCCTTGAGGCGACTTTTGTTGTGATTTGGCGCTATATAAATAAAATTGAATTGAATTGAATTGAATTGAATCTGTTCTTCCCGTATGCAAACTGGTGGAGATTGAATGTGGCTGGGAGTCCTCTCGAGACACTTCGAGATGACTGGAGTAAGAGCCACTGGGCAGAAATCGTTAGGCTAGCTAGACACATGAACAGGTTGGTGGTGCACCTGGGGCCTCACAGTCACCCAGCCGTCCTGTTTTCCCGGCTGCTCAGGGCCTGCCAGACACGGCTGCAGCTCACAGAGGAACACGTTCATCAGCTGGCACATTATCTGCTTACCCACAGCGATAAATCAGCTCCCCGTGTTGTGGTTGCAGTATCTAGTAGTTCCACGTATTGACAACGCTGTCTCCAGATGTTCTCGGCCTTGTTCAGAATTCCCACCTCACCAGCAGTAACCTTCAGCTCCCACTGCTCTCCTCTCTTCTTAGAAACCCGCTTCTGGTGACCACTACTCCCAGTGCTTCCCTTCTATCCAAAGATCTAAACCAGTACAGAGTCCAACACTCTCTACCAGCCTAGTCCGCCTGTCACACTTTCATACTCACACATTTTATTCTGTGTGTGCTAGTCTGCTGAAACGTTAGCCCTGCTCCAGCTTCACTTTACAATGCCAGAGCACTGAGCAAAGAAATCTTTATCTTTCTTTATGTTGGTTACCCAAAATGGACAACGTGGACTTTATGAAGGAGGAAACAAGATCAGGAAAGTCCAACTCTAAAGAAAAACTGCAGTTAAACATGAATTCAGTAGATTTATTTCACTTTCATTTCTCATGTGAGAACTGAAAGTGGATCAGCTGTGCTGCCACAGTGCTGATCGTGCTACTTCTTTCCACTCTGTTCATTTCCTCATTTCCCAAAGTTGGACTGTTTTATTAGACAGAAATGATGAACACATAAAACTTTAAACACATAATCAGTAATGTTTGAACCCTTCTTTGTTTATTTAACGCTTGTTATTTTTCCTTTTCAGTATAACTCACAATAATCATCGTCAGTCATTCCAGTACAATCCTTAATAGCTGCCCATGGTTTTTGATGACGATCAGTCACGTGTGTTGATATTGTGACTATGATCACATGTCTGCTGTGTATTTAAATGTGGATGTTTCTGTGTGAGATCAGCAGCCGTCCAGCAAACCTCATCCAGCCGACCACGTCTGCACACACGTAAGTCTGCCACCATTCACTCGGCGTCCTCATTTCACTCTTTATTTTACTCTGGTGAAAATCATCTCCCAAGACTTTGGTATCATCTTATTAATTAAAGGTGGTAATAAGCAATTTTTCCCATATGTTCCTCTGGGTTCAGTTTAATGGTTTCAGGCTCAGAGTGGAGACTGTAATATCATAAAAACACAAGGATGCTGTGATTGTGTGCAGATTGTTCTGTTGGCATTTTTTCCTTTTAAAGAGCTTCTTAGTTGGCGCTGTTGCCATTATTACATACTATCCTGATTCCCCTTGTTAAAACCTTTTTATATCTGGATTGATTCTTGATTCGTTCAACTCTGTTTGGTGCAGGAACCCATAATGTCTTTCATCGCTGAGCTCCAAGTGTCTTTGAACAAAGCCGAGGAGTTTGCGCTCCGTGAACAAGGCTTCAAGAAAATCTTTGTTAATCTGAACGAAGGAGCCGGGGGAAACTTCGTCTACCTCTGGTACAAAAAAGGCGATCATGCAATTACCAGGATTCAGATTTCCTTCCACGATGAGATGTCCACGGGTCTGTCCAGTGCAGGGTTCAAAAAGATCGACAAAAACCTGAACGAGGGGGCATGTGGAGGTTCTGTCTACCTGTGGTACTACAAAGGTTCCTTAAAGTACGATGTTCCCATCAGGAAACTCGATGTCTCTGTACAAGCAGGAGATGAACCCTACAAGTATAAACTGGGCTGGGAGAGACTGGCCTGTGACCTGAACCGTGGTGCTGGAGGAAACTGGATCTATCTGTGGTTGAAGAGAGAGAACCCCACCTACATCTGTGACATCAGGGCCACTGCTAAATTTGAGGAAGATGACGACAACTTCAATGATGGCTACATCCGGGTGGATGAAGACACCAACAGGGGAGCAGGAGGGCCCTACATCTTCATCTGGTACCGTCAAACCACAGACCCCAAGGATGCCATCAGTGAGCTGGAAATCTCCTCCAGTGATGTCAAGCAAAAGAGCCTCCAAGACCAAGGCTATGAAATCGTGAACCAGGATCTGAACGAGGGCACCGAGGGAAAGGAGGTGTTCCTGTGGTACAAGAAAGACAGCGGCAGCGCTCCCATCAAGGCCGTCACCGTGCTCGCCGACCCAGCAGCTAAGCAGGCGTATGACAATGACGGGCTCAACGTGAACCCAGAAAACCTCAACACAGGCAACCCAGGAGCTGCTCCCGTCTACCTGTGCTATCATCAGTGAGAGCGGTCATGGTAAAAGAAGTGAGCACGCTCACTGAGCAGAAACCCAGAGGTCTGATGATGTTTTTTTTCTTTAATGATGTTCAATCACTGTGATCTCAGAGGTTTGTCTGCACCAGCGATCATTGATCCTCCAACCAATCTGATTGATTAGCTCTGAATCACTTTATTCTGTTTATTGTCTCTCTTTCAATAAAGTCTGTTTAGAATCTGAAATCTCTCTGTGTCGTGTGTCAAAGCTTCATCTGTTGCTTGTTAGCAGAGTAAGGTGAGCTCAGCAGGATCAATACATGACTTCATTTAGCAGAAACCCGAGTTCACACTGAACCTCGCAGTAATCACAGCAGTAGGTACGTCCTCTTTGGACTCAGGTTCATCGTGACCAATCAAACAGTACATCTGAGGAGGGCCTTCATATGTCCTGTGTAGAAAAATGCTCAGCAGTATCTGAGCCGAAGGCACGACGGCGTCGCACAGGTGGAACCCGTTTAACACTAGGACTATGAGCAGCAACTTGGTCAGAGAATACAGCATCCTCGACGTGTAAGTTACAGACAGATGATATGATAACACCGAAGATAATGTGGCACCCTTAACAAGCTGAATGAGATTAAAAGAGTTCACTAAGTCCCAGGAGCTTCTCTGGGTAACACAGGTGGATATTAAAATCACTGAGCAGCAGGATCTGGTCGTATCGTGATGCACAGTCAGCTAGGAAGTCACTCAGATAAAAAATCCTTATTATATCTAAGAGGCCGGTAAACTACTGCACACAGCAGCGAAGGGGAGTTCACAGAAACAGAGCTGAAAGCTGGTGCATGTCGATGAGGATAGCTGCTTAAGGTTGAAGGGGGCTTTAAAAACAGCAGCTAACCCTCCGCTGCGACAAGAAGCTCTCAGAGCACTAAAATATGCACAGCCAGCTGGCAGTTCAGAAAAGCTGCTTAACTCACCGGGTGATGTGCAGGTTTCAGTTAGACAGAGGAAATCCAATGAAAAGAAATCCTTCAAAATAAAGGTCTTATTTGCCGGGAGCTGGGTCAGAGACTTCCACGACAACCGGATCCACCGGCCGAAGGTTTGATCGATCTGCTCCCCGCCAGTGAAAGGGCGATGGTGGAGGTTCAGAGTTTTGTATGCCTAGGGGGTTCAGAGGGGAGGTGGTGTGAGAGAGAGTTCAGCATCCTGACAGCCTGATGGATGAAGCTGTCTCTCAGTCTGCTGGTTCTGGCCTCGAGGCTCTTCAGTCTCCTTCCTGATGGCAGCAAACTGAAGAAGCTGTTGGACGGATGGGTGGAGTCACCTGTGATGCAGAGAGCTTTCAGGTGAGACGGGTGCAGTAGATGTCCTGGAGGGAGGGAACAGAGGTACCCACGATCCTCTCTGCTGCTCTCACTACCCGTCGTAGCTGTTTCCAGCAGCACCCAGGAGCCACACCACACAGTGATGCAGCTGGGAGGATGCTCTCCACGGTGCCTCTGTAGAAGCTGCTCATAGTGGAGGTTGATGCTCTCGCTGTCCTCAGTTTGCAGAGGAAGTAGAGTCGCTGTTGGGCTTTGCTGACCAGGAGAGATGTGCAGGAACTTGGTGCTGCCTACCCTCCACAGCAACACCATTGATGGTTAGTGGGGTGTGCAGAGTGTGAGTTCTCCTGCAGTCTGTGATGATCTCCTTAGTCTTCTCCACATTCAGGGACAGGTTGTTGTTGCTGAACCACTTGGCCAGATGTTTAACTTCAGTCCTGTAGTAGGCCTCATCGTTGCTGATGTGACCTACCACAGCTGTGTCGGCTGCAAACTCGATGAAAAGGTTGGAGCTGTGTGATGGTGTGCAGTCAGTATGTGAACTGAAGCGGGTCCAGGTCGGAGGGAAGAGATGTCTTAACCGTTCAAAGCTTCATGCGAGCAAATCAAAATGTATTTATACAGCACATTTAAAAACAATGTCGATCAAAGTGCTTCACAAACTAAGAGCGAGTAAAATAATTCACCATTTCACTCGCTGGGCCCACGCCCTCATTTTAGGTTTGACAGCGTTTTAGTAGGTAATGCTTTGACATCAATTGAGCTGCGGTTTGGGGAAGGCCTCGATGGGGACTGGCGACGGCTCCTGGGCCTGGCAGATCCCCGTGTTACAGAATTGAGAACAAGGAGGGAGGGGCACAGCTTGCAGAACTGGGGGCACCTATATAGATGACAACCGGAAGGAGCACGTTTGGAGGCGTGGCCCTGCTCCTGAGATTCCCATACATAACCTCCAACACAAACATAGCAGCTTGCCAAATGATGATCAACTAACTTAAGTCAAGGCCAAAGTAAAAAGAAGAGTCTTTAAAAGACTGAATGGACTCAGAAGAGCGAATGGCAGTAAGATTGTTCCACAGTCTAGGTGCTGCAATAGCAAAGGCACGATCACCTCTGTTTCAGCCTAGCCTTAGGCTGCATTAAGAGCATCTGATTAGAGGATCTTAGTGCTAAAACCGGAGTCATGTGATCATGCATTCTGGCAGCTGATAAAAGGCGTGCAGCAGCGTTCTGTACTAATGCAAACGGTAGAGAGAGGAGTGACGGAGGCCAAAAAAGGGAGTTACAGCAGTCTAGTCTCGAAGTAACGAATGCACGAATCAGCTTCTCAAGGTCCTTGGGGGAAAGCAAAGGCTTGGCTTTAGAAATCTGACATAGCTGATAGAAACTTGATTTAACCACTGTGGATACTTGTTTCTCTCATTTGAAGGAGCTATCCAAGAGTCCCCCTGAGTCTCTAGAGAGGTAGCTAGCAGAGGGCCAAGGGTATCAGTTGGTTCAGAGGGATACGGCTGTAGATTTATGGCTGTCAAAGACAATAACTTCAGCTTTACTCTCATTCAAAGTGAGAGAGTTTTGAGATTACCAGACTCTGACATCATGAAGACAATTAAACAATGTGTGCAATGGATCTGTGACATTCAAGCTCAAAGGGAAATATATTAGAATCTCATTGGCAAAGCAATGGAAAGCAATATTACATTTTCTGTATATAGTGACGGAGGCGAGTGCGACCGGACGGTAGTCGTTAAAGCAGGAGTGAGACGACTTCTTCGGTACAGGAATGATTTGAGGGATGTGGGAAGGACAGCCTGGCTCACTGATGTACGACCATGCAGCGTTTAAAGCGTGGAAGTAATCACATTACTTTGAGTTTGATTCCGTAAAAATAACAGAAACAGCGTCCGCTGTTCACTCTGTGGGAAGAAAACTTCTTTCTACAGCGAAAAATTAAACTTCTAATCTGAGCGAGCAGCGAGCACGCTGCCACGGGAATGTGACATTCACAGAGAACCCCACGGATCCTCCCACTGACATGACCGCTGTGGGCAGACCTCCACCCGCCCCACTCCTGCTAAACAGCTGACAATAGATTTAAGAGCTGCTGAGTCTTTGATTTCATTCATTTCTTCTGTTTTACTTGCATCTGTTTGACAGAGCAGGTTCCAAAACACATGATTTTATTTTATGCTGGAATAAGCAGAACACAGGTTTCAGTGTTGAACACGCTTCTTCAGTCAGAATTTAGTTTTTGCATCAAGTTAACAGAGTAAAACAAGTTTTAAAAAGAGACTTTTATATGATGATTATGCAGAATAAATAGAACTGGGCTGAAGGGTCTGTTGCTTTACTAGATATTCAGGTGGAGCATCATGTTTTTTAAAAGTAACTAAGTATTAACGTAACTAATTACTTTTGAAAGTAAGTAATCAGGAAAGTAACAGGATTACATTCTTGAAGTAGTAATTAATAATTAGTAACTACTTACTTTTTTCAAGTAACTTGACCAACACTGTATATATGAGATATAGATATACATAATTACTCCCCGCTCGCCCCTGCGGGCGGTTTATCCTTCAAGCTCGGGTCCTCTACCAGAGGCCTGGGAGCTTGAGGGTCCTGCGCAGTATCTTAGCTGTTCCCAGGACTGCGCTCTTCTGGACAGAGATCTCCGATGTTATTCCCGGGATCTGCTGGAGCCACTCGCCTAGCTTGGGAGTCACTGCACCTAGTGCTCCGATTACCACGGGGACCACCGTTACCTTCACCCTCCACATCCTCTCGAGCTCTTCTCTGAGCCCTTGGTATTTCTCCAGCTTCTCGTGTTCCTTCTTCCTGATATTGCTGTCATTGGGAACCGCTACATCGATCACTACGGCCGTCTTCTTCTGTTTGTCTACCACCACTATGTCGGGTTGGTTAGCCACCACCATTTTGTCCGTCTGTATCTGGATCTTAGCTCGGTCATTCTCCACCACCCTTGGGGGGCATCTCCCATAACCATTTAATATGGAGGGCCAGGAGTCCCAAAATGAATCAAACACATCATTAAATAATCTTTTAAATGTGTCATGAATTTAAATTGTAAATCAGTAATTTATTCAATGTTCAGTTCATTTTTATTTCGAACGTATACATTCACCAACAGTCCATAACATCATCCATTCAGCTGTTTGAAAAGCAGTAGGCAGAAGTATACACTTATGTTTATACTTATTTAGCCCCCCTCAGGTTTACGTCTTAATCATTTCCTCGCCAGTCTATTTAAATTTGAACAAGTGTGTCAAATTAATAGAACTGTAATTTAATCATTCATATATTTAATAATTTATTTCCAGTTTTTTCATTCCCATGCATAAATAAATATACTGAACATTAGTTTGCTGTTTAAAAACATTTAAACAGCAAATTAAAAACAAATTGTCCCAAACTGGCCAGAACGACACAGCTGGGAGAGTCTGGATCAGAGCTCACAGACCGCAGAGAGGCGTGGTCAGAACTCCTCCTCTTTACTGCGGCACAGCCACAGACCATCCCGACACCGCGCTCACACAGGACGCCGTCAGGAAACTGCAGAAGAAGAAAAACAGGAAGTTTGCTGAACATGGGAATAAAACTGTCACGGTCACGTGACCCAACCTGCTCAGTCAGCTGTCTGGTCACGTGACCTTCTGGGATCAGACGAACGCTTCGGTCGATCTTTGTCACGGCGCCCCGCTCTGAGAACACACTGCCTGGCGGGGGCGCTACAATTCGGCCTTTTGTTCACATCATCTCCCAGAAGACCCGCCCACCCTGCGACATCACCACACACTCACATCAAACCTCACCTTTGTGGCTGAGGCGCCACCGATGACATCACAGCTCAGGATCCAATCAGAGAGCAGAGCCACCTGCAAGAACACAAACTGATGGTTAGATTGTAGCCGTGGACTCCGTGGAAGTCGTGGACGCCACGTGCCGCCTGGATCAGAGTACGCTTCAGTCCGGTTTTGTCACGGCCCCTCCCCTCTGTGAACAGACTGCTGTGGGAGGGGCTTCAGTCGGCCTTTTATTACATCACTTCCAGGCAGAGCGACATTTGACGGGGGAGGTTTAGTGTTTTTGGGTGAACTTTAAAGAAGTCAGATTTAAGAGGAGTCAGAGACATTGGTTCATTGATTATTGACAATCGTATTATTAGTTTCATGTAAACACTGAGGACGAGCAGACTCCCCGGCTCCTGCTTCGTTTCCTGCTCTCAGCTGAGTGAGGTGGACCCTGTAGAGCAGCAGGGTCATGTGACACACCTCAGTCTGAGCACGTCCCAGAATCCCACCCACCCGCTCACCTGTGCCGATGTCACAGCGGCTCTCGGTCTGTTTTCCCAGCATGCATCATTCACAGACACAGAACTTCAGCTGTAATGACTTCAGGTAAAACCACCTGCTGCCCCCTGCTGGCCGGAGCCTCCATTACAGTCTGCAGAGTCAGCAAAGAAAAACTGAAATAAACGTTCGGAGTCTCAAAGGCATTCAAACATGAATAAAGCCCCGCCCCCTATTTTCTTACTAGTCTTCATTTTGAGCTTCAGCTTCAGCAGGTTTCCAGAGTGGCTTTTCATTCGTTTGTCTTTTTTCCAATATCACTGTATTTATGACAAACGCCAGATTTATAAAACGCAGCAAAGATATTCGAACACAATAAACACGCCCATAAAGGAATTTTATCAAATTAACAAATAAAAACAATAAATGTAGTTTAGCTGAGTGCACAACATGGTTTCAGTTGTTAGGGAGCTACAGTGTTGGTGTTTGTGAGGGCCTGAGACGCTGAGGCAGAACTGCACCTGACAGCAGCTCCACAGCCACACCTGCTGGACACCTTCGCTACTGTCACATCTGGATTACAGTACACTGTGACACAGAGACCCACGGGGTCCTTTTTACATCTGTAACCATCAATAATTCGGATCAGCAGTCTCCAAAACACCTGCTGAAGGCTGAGCCTCAGTGAAGTGCGGTAACATCGCAAGGCTGATCTCTTTTAGGAAACTCGCCTCTCCGTCAGCCTCCACTCAAGCCGTCTGCCTCCCGGCACCGGACGGGTAATCTAGCATACCAGGCAGATTACCCGCTGTGAGCCGGACAGCCCGTTGGTTCATTTCCATTACCGACGCTGGACTGAAGGACAGAGATCAGGACGGGAGAAGCGACGGACAAACAACGCTGAACTGTGACAGTAGGGCTGGGCCAGCTCTGTTCTAGGAGGCCCTCTGGACCCAGTGGAGGTGGTGAGTGACAGGAGAACGGCGGCTAAGCTGTCATCCCTGATGGACAACATCTCCCACCCCATGCAGCAGACTGTGACAGCACTGAGCAGCTCCTTCAGTGGGAGACTGCGGCACCCACGGTGTGGGACGGAG